TATGTAATTTTGGAAAAACCAGCTCGAGTGCGCTAGAATTTGAAAATCTTCCTCTTCCTTCAGACTTCCTTACAGAGCCCCTCCTCCAACACACACGAACGCGCACATGACCAATGAGGGCACGAGATAAGTTTGTGCACAGATGGAAGGCTGACAGGCAGGTAGGCCATCCAGTTATATTAGCCGGGCCGGCTAAAATGATTGGTCGTGCTTTTTACAGCGCCACGACTTCCACAGATGACATTTTTTTATGTATTTATTGTCAAAGCATTTAATATATTAATTGCTATCGGGATGTTAAGAGCATTCCATGGAATATAACAAAAAGTGTTTCTGAAATAAATTACATACCCCACCTTTANCAAAACAGGAAACACAGAGCCTAAATACCAAAACTAATTAACCCAACAAGACACAGGTGAGGGAGGAGACAACACAGGGCACCAGATGAACACAATCAGCCTGATTGTGTTCATCTGGTGCCCTGTGTTGTCTCCTCCCTCACCTGTGTCTTGTTGGGTTAATTAGTTTTGGTATTTAGGCTCTGTGTTTCCTGTTTTGTTTGGTGTGTGAGATCCTTGTGGCTGGTGACTGTGCTCACGTGAACTGCAAGATTGAGGCTGTGTCATGTGCCCGTGAGTAATAAGTGTCCACACCGGTCAGCTTCACAAATACACTTACACAACTTTTGTTATAATTAAAATTATACAAATAGTCTTGTCTATTTCTTTAGCAGGATAGGTCCAGTTTTTTTGTTCTAATTGTTATGTCAATTTTTTCTTTATAGAATAGGCCTACATTAAGAAATTCTAATTGAGTCAACTTCATGATACCTTTTCCACTATAGTTTTGTGAATAATTACCATTCTAGTGACCTCACATGTTTGTACGTTTGGTTTGCTTACTATTTTAACATATTTTGAAATGTTACTAGCAAGAGGCATATTTTATTAAAGCTTTCCATAGTAACCTGAGATTTTTTGTTTTATATTAGATTTCTTGTTTTTTATATTTGATGTATGCACTATGACAAGTCAAATTCCTAGTATGTGCGAACCTACCTGGCAATAAACCTGTTTCTGATTCTGATAAACTTAGTACACAGTGGAACAAAAAGCTACCAATGAAAAGAACACCCCAGAACTATCTCGACGCTTTCATAATCTTTGCTGTCCATCCCGGTATCCAGACCAGTTGGGTGTGTGTTTTGTAATTTTTTTGTAATTGTGTAACCGCTCGAAGAGGAAGGACGGTAAGCTAGTGTGTTTTGTGACCTTATTGGGACTTTCTACAACTTCATTATTTAGCTACCGAAACACTTCACCACAAACCGTCAATCTCTATCTCGTCTTCTCGACCAATACCACACTGTGACGTCACGGTGTTTGTCTTTGCACGGGGAGTGTCAGCAGCACTGACCCCACTGATAAGATAACACACAGCCCAGCCTGCTACACAAACTAATATCACAATACAGCAGCATGCATGAGGTGTTCACTGTCAGTGTATAGTATACGTCAACGTTAGTCCGATAAAAATAATACATTAGCTTTGCTGTGCTGAGGAGAAGGCAACTGAGTGAGAGGTGAGTAGCTTGTTATATCAACCTACAAACAAGACGACGTAAATGACACTACAATCTTATTAAACTGCATATTTGACCTAACGTTAGCTAGAGCTTATCAGTCCTGTGACATTATGACTAATACAAAGCGAAAACACTACAGATTTGCTTTAAACCTACGTTAGCATGTCTTGCTGTTGTTCTGAAACATTTGGATATTTTGTCGCATGTTGAACCTCAGTCGTGACTCGTGACTCTGAAAAGTGTTGCCAAACAACCATGCATGTTAACTATTTGATTGAATCTAGGTTAATGGTTGCAGTTTTACACCTTAATTAGCCAACGTTTTCCTTTAAGGCAGCATGAAAATAAACTTCAGGAAACACGAAACAAAATTCACAATTTGTTAACATCATGTGACTTTGAATCAAACAAAAAACGCGTTTGAAGGATGATGCTGAAATTGCTATGCATTCCACTGCACTGCTGCAAACACTGGCAGAATTAGAAGATGATCTGCTTAAAGTTACCTGAAGAAGCTTAGAGCTGAATTCATTGCTAGTAAAGCTGGAAGATAGGTAATTTGAGTTTATACACACATTAATGTACTTAAAAGGCTTTTTTTATTGGGTAAACTGCCAGTCACGTAGCTCTGTCAAGTTTTGCTAAACTGCCATATCTGTACCTGTTGTATACGGCTTATAAACCTAGGTTTATGACTGCAATTGTACATGTTGTTATCTTTATATGCCATTGGACGTTATGCTTTTTAGGACAGGGATTTTTCAAGAAAGTCTGCTTGCAGTAATAACTGACAAAAAAATGACCTTAATCGTCCTAAAGGTACCTAATACCTTATTTTTACCAATTTTGGATTACTGAGGCAGATACTGATATAGGTATTTGAGGGTTTAAAGCATACATCTCTCATATTAACAATGGATCACGTAAACACTTGTATTATCTGACTCTGCAGTTCTCCTCAACTCTTTGGTGCTTTCAGTGTGTCCATAATGTTTTCCCGTTCTTATCACAGAACATGTGGCTGCCCATGCTTGGGATGACCGCCCTGCCGCACCTGGGGGGGCTTTACGGCGGTTTCATTACACGCAAAGAGGTGAAGAGCTGGTACCCAACCCTGAACAAACCCTCATGGCGGCCACCAAATGCTGCATTCCCTGTAGTGTGGACCTGTCTGTACACAGGCATGGGGTAAGCATCGCGTTGACAGACTCCTACAGTCTCTCAGATCCACAGCTGTAGTCTTTCAAGCTCCTTTCCCACCAAAACCTGTCTTTGTACTCTTTCCACTTTTCAAACTAGTCTTCCAGTAGTAGTCTGTGAATTCGAAAGTGACTAACCTAATTAACATAGGGCATACTTGTCTATACTGGCAATGTTTAAGGAGTCAATCGCCTACTGTTCCTGTGTTTAAAAACCATCAAATAACATTGTATCTTAAAGGTGGGGTATGCAATTTATTTCAGAAACACTTTTTGTTATATTCCATGGAATGCGATAGCAATGAATATATTAAATGCTTTGACAATAAATACATAAAAAAATGTCATCTGTGGAAGTCGTGGCGCTGTAAAAAGCACGACCAATCATTTTAGCCGGCCCGGCTAATATAACTGGATGGCCTACCTGCCTGTCAGCCTTCCATCTGTGCACAAACTTATCTCGTGCCCTCATTGGTCATGTGCGCGTTCGTGTGTGTTGGAGGAGGGGCTCTGTAAGGAAGTCTGAAGGAAGAGGAAGATTTTCAAATTCTAGCGCACTCGAGCTGGTTTTTCCAAAATTACATACCCCACCTTTAATAACCGTTTTTACATGTTATGTAGGTATAGCTCCTACCTGGTGTGGAAGGAGCTGGGCGGTTTCACTGAGGAAGCGCTGGTTCCTCTAGGACTTTATGGGCTGCAGCTTGCTCTCAACTGGATCTGGACTCCCATCTTCTTTGGTGCACATAAGCTGAAATTGGTAAGTTTCACACATAAATGTAATTATTTCTTTACACTGCGAGATAACAGCTCAACGGCCCTCTCTCTGCCCATATAGGCACTCTTAGACATTGTGCTTCTCACTGGGACCGTGGGGGCCACCATGGTGTCTTGGTATCCTATCAGCAGAACGGCCACTCTGCTGATGGCCCCGTACCTGGCCTGGCTTTGCCTCGCCACCTGCCTCAACTACCGCATATGGAGGGACAACAGAGAGGAGAAGGAAGAGTAGCTTTCTTTTGTTTGAAAAAAGGGCTTTTCTTTTGTATGCATTCATGATTAAGAGTTTTGTGTTTTAGTAACTGCTATAACTCAATTAAAAATAAAGATTTATATCCAATCCATCACTCTTGAATAAATTCAACAACTCAAGTTTTTTTTTTTTTTTTTTTAAAGCTTGGAGGCTTTAAATGCTGCTGTGTAATGTTTTGAGCACCAAGCCTTTCCCCAGACTTTAAAGGGGACCTATCATGCTAAATGCACTTTTTGACTTTTATACATAAACATGTGTCCCCGGTGTGTCAGGGAACTCACGCAGCGTCAGAAAATAAAACCCTCTCTCTTTTCCTCCGTACCCAAATCTCTAAAAACGGGGGTACAACGGAGCTGATCCAGATNGTGATGAAACGCCATATCATGGATTATCAAGGATTATGCTGTGGGTCTGCATTGCCGATTTGACGTAAATCTGGATCAGCTCCGTTGTACCCCCGTTTTTAGAGATTTGGGTACGGAGGAAAAGAGAGAGGGTTTTATTTTCTGACGCTGCGTGAG